CCTTATTTTTTTGAGACAGGTTCTTTCATTGAACCTAGAGCTCACCAATTTGGCTAGACTAGCCGATCAGCGAGCCCCAGGCCTCCTCCTGCCTGCACCCCAATGCCCCTGGCTTTTGTGTGGGTGCTGGGGATCCAGGTGGGGCTCGTCTTGATTACATGGCAAGCACTTTATCCGGTGGTTCTCTTCCCTAGCCCCTGTTTTCCCATTCTTATATGTCATTAGACAACCAAGACCCACACATTCTTTATCTAAAGAAAGCTTATTTGCTTGAAGAGAAAAGTGAAAATAAGCTAAACAAAAACTTAGTTGCATTATAAGAGCAAGAAGAAGATAGTGACTTCAGATAATTTTAAAAAGCTGCTCAAATGGGTACTCTTCAAGGAATAAAATGTTCTTGGAAATGTATGACTTGTGGAATTAAACATCACTTTTATAATTTGTCCTGACATCATATCACGGGAGCCCTCCAGTTTTGCTCTTTTTCATAGGCTTTGCATTTACATAGGAATTTCACATTCAGCCACTTAGAGTCCATAGAAAACACACTGGGATTTGGGTTAGGATCGTATTGAGTCGTAGACATATTTGATATTCGATACCTTATCAGTGTTGAGTCTGCTAGGCCATGAACAGGATCCATTTGGCTCACTCAGATCATTTGGCTTTGGAGTTCCTCCCGTTGATGCTCTGTATTTTCAGTGTGCACATCCTGAACATCTTCTGTCAGACTTGCACCTGAGGAGTTCATCTTTGTGAACTATTGTAACTGGTAACTTTTTTTTGGCTGTCCTGGACTCGCTTTGTAGCCAAGGCTAGCCTCAAACTCGCTGAGATCTGTTCTGTCTCTGCCTCCTTGAATGCTGGGATTATAGATGTGCACCACCACATTTGGCTATTACTATTTGGTTTTACTATTACTTTTCAGTTGTTCATTGCTGGAATATAGGAACACAGAGTTTTGTTCATTGATCTTAAATTCTATAACCTTGCCAAATGATTTCAATAACTTTTCTTTAAAATTTTAAACTACATTGATTGATTGGTTGATTGGTTGATTGGTGTGTGTGTGTGTGTGTGTGTGTACGTGTACCCACACGCACGTATGCATGTGCATGTGTGTGTACCATGACATGGTGGTATGTGGTGGTCAAAGGAAAACTTGTAGGAGTCAGTTCTCTCCGCCATGTGGTGCTATTGCATGAACTCAGGTCATCAGTCTTGGTGGCAGAGAGCCTTTACCTGCTGAGCCATCTCGATGGCACACAGACAGACAGCAGGGCAATCACAGAAGGATAGGCAGATAGCTTGGTGGAACCAGGTAGTCTGGGAAAAAAGTTATAGCTAATTACATGAACATTTGACAAAGGTGGTACTGAGGAGAAATGATAGTTTGTCAATAAAAGGTGATAGAGTTATTGGAGATCTGTCTGTGAAAATGAAAACAAAGACCCACAGAAACTCTTAGCTATATAGGCCCAAATGTAATACCTGAAACCATAAAACTTTTTGCTTAGGCAAAAATTCTTAGATTAAAAACAAACAAACAAACAAAAAAAAAAAAAAAAAAAAAAAAACTAAGCCACAATCACAAAAGGAGAAAATTGACAGGTTGGTCATCATCAAATAAAGAACCCTATGCTCATCAAAGAACTTGCTAAGAAATGAAAACACAAGCCTCAGAGTGAAGAAAGTCTTAGGGAAGTATATAACAACTCACATCTGTAATACCTGTAAACAATTCTCAAACCCAATGATAGGATCGTAAGAAAGTCATTAAAAGAATAGGCCAAAAATTAGAGAAAAACACTTCAGTGAAGAAGATGAACAGACGATAACGGGGTACTGGAAAAGTTACTTAGCATTATCAACCATCGGAGAAAATCCATTTAAAGCCACAGTGAGAAACCACAAGCAGCCACAGGCATCTGTGAAAATTAAAAAGACTGGCTACCTAGTTTGCTTTCCAGGGCTATGATGAACACCAGGACCCAAAGCAATGTTGGGGAGGGACAAGGTGTAGTTAGTTGGTGTGCATGTCCCAGTCACAGCCTGTCACTGAAGGACATTGGGACAAGTATTCAAACAAGAGTCAAGGTTTTCCATGGAAGAAAATTGCCTACTAGCTTTCTTCTCGTGGCTAACTCAGCTTGCTTTCTTATACAACCCAAGACTACCTAACCAGGGACAGCCCCAGGTGGTGGGCTGGGTCCACTCCCTTCAACCAGCTATCAAGAAATTGCCACACAGACATGCCACAGGCCAATTGGATGCCTCAGATGAGGTTTCCTCCTCCCAGGTGACTCTAGTTTGTGTTCAGTTGACAAAAACTAACCAGCCCATTGGCCACGCCCAGTCCTAGGCAGGGTGTGGATGCCGAGGGTTTTCTGCGTTGCTGAGGAGAATGCAAAATAACACAATCACTTGCAGACAGTTTGGTGGTTCCTCAATTCAACACTTACCCGTAGTATGGCTGCACCGTTCCACAGTTAGATCTTTACCGGACAGAAATTAAAATGCAGTCTAATACAAAGACCCTTACAGGGGTGTTTCTGCCTACTTAGTGATTCCACTAACCCAGTCAGTGTGTTGGTCTGAATGAGATGTCCCCCATTTTCTCAGGCAATTCCAGATGTGGTCCACAGTTGGGAGCACTGTTTTGGGAGGCTGAGGAGTTGTGGCTTTCTGGAGAAAGTATGCCACCCAGGGATGGGCTTAAAGTTGTGTACCATTCCCAACTTGACCTCTCTGCTTCCTGCTTATGGATGGAGATAGAAATCCTCAACTTGAGGTTCTGGCTGCCATGCCTGCAGGCTGTATCACTTCCCTGCTATGATGGTGATGGACTCTTATCCCTCTGGAACCCAAATAAACCCTTCCTTCTACAAGTTGCTTTGCTCATGTTGTTCTATCACAGCACTAGAAAAGTAACTAATACATGTTCAGTTCTAGGAAAAGCAAATAAATCTTTAGTGACAGTAAGTAGTGGTTGCTTGGAGACAAGGCAGGGAATCAGGGAAGAACAGGAGGGAGAGCCTAGAAGGAAGCCTTTAAAGGTAGTGACATGTTCCTTATTTTGATTGTGATGTTGATTTCACAAATATAAATATATGTTCGTATATGCTAGCTTTTCATTTCTGTGACCAGTCTACCTGATAGAAGCCTGCTCCTAAGGATGAGCTTCCACCCACTTTGATAGGCTTCATCTATCAAAGGTTCCATCTGAGGAACAAATCCTGAAAACATAAGCCTGTGGGGGGGCACATCCATAACAATGCCCCAAACTAGAAGCTTTAATCAGGCACCATTGATTCTATGTCATGTAGCCTCAGTGAAGCTGTCTTAAACACTCAAAAGGCTTGCAAGAGTGAGTTTAGAACGCTCCTAGAGAAAGCTAAATGAAGTGAAACACAGGGAGGGAGAACAAGGCAGAGCCGTCATGCACTCTACTGTTGGTGTGTTCTGAAGTGTCACTGCAGTGTACTGAGCTATTTGTGCTTTCATCTTGCTCACCATTTGCGAGTTCTTTGAACTTGGAGATTTGTTCATATCGTCAGATCTTTCTTGGACATATCCTTTTGTTACTTTGTTGGCAATGCCTTCTCTGCCAGCTCAGAACTGGATTACAGGTTCCTTCCTCTGTGTGGTGGTTTGAATGAGAATGGCCTCTATTGGGTTAATATATTTGAGTACCTGCTCACCAGTGAGTAGAACTGTTTGAAAGAATTACAAGGATTAGGGGGTGTGGTCTTATTGGAAGAAATGTGTCCCTGGAGGTGGGATTTGAGCTTTCAAAAGCCCATGCCAGGCCCAGTCTCACTCTCTCTAGGACTTCGGGTGAGAATGTAGCTCTCAGCTAATGCTCCAGCACCATTCATACCACCCTGTTCCCTGCCACGATGGTAAGTCTCTGAAAGTGTAAGCAAGGCCTCATTTAAATGCTTTCCTTTACAAGAGCTGCGTTGGTCATGGTGTCTCTTCACAGCAATAGAAAAGTGACTAAGGCACCCTCCCTTCTCCTTTCTTTCCCTCCCTCCCTGCCTTTCTCCGTCCCTCCTTTCCTCCTTCCTTCCTTCCTTCCTTCCTTCCTTCCTTCCTTCCTTCCTCCCTCCCTTCCTTCCTTCCTTCCCTCCTTCCTTCCTTCCTTCTCTCCTTTCTTCCTTCCTTCCTTCCTTCTTTCCTTCCCAGGACCCTATGTCTATTGGACGAGTACTGTACACTGAACCCCTAGGCCTAAGTGTTATAGGAGATGGGAATGAGACTAGAAATGTATACCCCTCGTTCCTGAGCATAGAGGGAAAAGCAGAGGCATTGTATTCACTTGTGCACCCACTGGTGACTCCCAAGTCTCCAGAGGATAGTTCCCATCCAAGGGGCACACACACATACACGCACACACACACACACACACACACACACACACACACACACACACAGAGGGAGAGGGAGAGAGAGAGGCCCTGGTTAGACTAAATAGATAACAAAATGAAAATTCGCAAGTCCATAGAGAGAGATATCCGGCAGCCACTTATACCAAAGACATTTTGCACAAGTCCCGATCTTCAGCGCTCGGTGTAGACACTCCTGAAGTCTTGCACTGTTTGGCTTTTTCTTGAGACAGGTCTCATGTATCTCAGGCTGACTTCGAACTCGTTATGTAGCTGGAGCGGGTCTTGAACTCCTAATCCTCTGCCCTCATGTCCCAAATGCTGGACTTGTAGGAATATGCCAGCACCTCTTGCTCTGGGTTTGGTTGAGCAGTTCATGCCGTCCAGCCACTGAGGTGTGGACAGAAGCACCTCCATTTCTTCCACTGGGGTGGGTATTTTGTATCTTGGAACAGGTGGAGGCCCTTGGGCACAGAGGCCCTGCATTCCTGGGTGAAGACCCTTCTCTATTGCCCAGTCCTGGTTCCTCCACGCTCACAAGTGACCCTGACCTTGAGCTGGGAAGGCTGTTGTAGAGAGCGTTTCTGAGTCCTGGAACATCTTTCTGTCTAGAACATGAATGGCGTAGAGGAGGGTGTGGAATTCCTGCCTGTGAACAATGCCAAGAAAGTGGAGAAGCGAGGCCCCAGGCGCTGGGTGGTGCTGGTGGTCATTCTGGTCACCTTCTTCTTGCTCTCACTCATGGCTGGCTTGCTGGTGTGGCACTTCCATTGTGAGTACAGTGGAGTCTGGAGTACTGTGGAAGGCAGGAGAATGGTGGTTTTCCCTCTTCTCTCCATGGACAGACCCTATGGTGGACAGGGAGAGAGAATGGGGGCAGGGGTGCGGGGATGGGAGGAGAGGGACTAGTAGGAAGGGATCAGCGTACTGAGCCATTTCCGGCCATGGTGGTGAATGACGGGGGCCTGGTCAGATCTGGCCCTTCTTAGCATTTGTCCTCTCAGCTGAGGGCAGCAGGGTGGGACTGGTGGAGCTGTGTCGTTGCCCATGACCACTTCTTGGCCTTTGGCAGACCGGAATGTGAGGATCCAAAAGGTCTTCAACGGCCATCTGAGGATCACAAATGAGAACTTTCTGGATGCCTACGAGAACCCGAACTCCACAGAGTTTATAAGCCTGGCCAAACAGGTGAAGGAAGCGGTGAGTCTACTCCTTTTGCCCTGCCTGCCTCAGCACTCGTCTTTGCCTCCAGATCCTTGGGCTGCGGATGGGCTAGGGCATGGGAGCGGCCCGAGGAAGGGGTCATTTCTGTTTGGCCAGCTGTAAACGTTGTCTTTTCCCTTCAGCTGAAGGTGTTGTACGATGGAGTCTCTGTCCTGGGCCCCTACCACAAGAAGTCGACTGTAATTGCCTTCAGGTGGGTGCTGGAGGCTGATGCTGTGGCTTTGACTATGTGGGGAGAAGATCAGCGTGTCTGTCCTTTGTGCAAGTGACTTTGAATGCCTGGTCCTCTGTCTCCAAGGCAGGGAGGGATGGTGGTGGTGCTGCCTGGGGAAAGACCACAAACACCATTTTCACAGGAGCTGCCCTATGTGCTACATTCATAAAGACATTGATTTTTCCAAATTTGGGTTTGAGGGAGTTGGGATGTCCAGGAAGGGCTTCTGTGTGCAAACTTTTTTTTTTTCCTTTCTAATAGATTTTCTGCCAAAGTACTCATGTGCTTTCATTGTTTTTCTGTAGCTCTGGGGGTGAAACCCATCGCCTCACCTCACTTATGTGAGGAGAGGGTGCTACCAACGAGGGTGCTACCAATGAGCCATACTCCAGTTCCCCTCCGCTCCCATCCACTCTGTTTTTGAGACATGCTTTCACTGTGTTGCCTACACTAGCCTCAAACTTGTGTACTTGGGTGATCCTCCTGCCTCAGCCTCCTGAGTTGCTAGGGCTGAGGACTGGAGTCTCTATGCCTGGCTCCCAGTGTACATGTGTGTGGTCCTGAGTCACTGCCACCCAGCTGGCAACCCCTGCCTCTTCTTTTGGAAACACCGTCTCCTCAAGTAACCCAGGCTGGCCTCAAACTTGCAGTCCCTCCTGGCTCAGTACCTGGGATTTCAGGTGTGTGCTGTCACACCCAGCTCCAAAGTTGTTCAGTTGAAGGTTCTGGAATACAGGGTTGCAAGTGGCACTCTCTTCTCTGTCTCAAATCAGCAACCAGAGCCAGGGGGCTTCTACTGAGATGCAGTGGACTGAAGCCCAGCCCAGGTTTCCTCCTCACTCGTTATCTTGAGTTGGCCCCCGTGGGCTCTGGAGCTTCCCATCTTAGGCTCTCCCTGTCTCCCCAGTGAGGGCAGTGTCATCGCCTACTACTTGTCAGAGTTCAGCATCCCGCCACACCTGGCGGAAGAGGTTGACCGAGCCATGGCTGTAGAGCGAATGGTCACGTTGCCACCCCGAACACGGGCCCTGAAATCCTTCGTGCTGACCTCCGTGGTGGCCTTCCGTGAGTAAGGGGAGGAGCAGGGTGAGAATGTGTGGGCTGGCCTGGAGAGGAGTGGGGCTGGGAGACCAACGCTCAGAGGCCCAGGTGCCCTGGGGGACTCTGCTTGCTGACTGGCACCGCCCTTTGGGTAGTAAGGAAGCATGGGTAAAGACATGGATTATTTTGGTTAAATGTTTGCCTTCCTGTTCTTCAGCCATTGACCCCAGAATGCTGCAGAAGAGTCAGGACAGTAAGTGCCATGTCGACTCCTGGTGGAGAAGGGGTCTTGCCAGATGCCCCTTAAGCCATGGGATCCCCAGAAGTCAGGTGGTGCATCCCTTCTTTTCCGCTTTCCCCTCCAAAACCCCGTTCCTTGTGTCTACTTGAGCTCACAGCGATTTGGGATGTTTTGGGGCGGGGCTAGGCCTGGGGTGTGGCCTGCAGGGTCCACACCTTCCTTCTGTCTTGTCTCTCACAGACAGCTGCAGCTTTGCCCTGCATGCCCGCAGCGGGGAGGTGATGCGCTTTACCACCCCTGGCTTCCCTGACAGCCCCTACCCAGCTCGTGCCCGCTGCCACTGGGTCCTGCGTGGCGACGCCGACTCTGTTCTGAGCCTCACCTTCCACAGCTTTGATGTCGCTCCCTGTGACGAGCACGACAGTGACCTGGTCACAGTATATGATACCCTGAGCCCCATGGAGCCCCATGCTGTGGTACGGTGAGTGTCCTGACAGGGAGGGGAGGTCCTGGCTGAGGGAGCCTGGCTGTTGCTGGTATAAACTAGCTGAACGGATTGTGGTGTAGGTTTGGGACGTAGTTTGTGACATTTGGCCACAGGCAGGTATGGTACACACCTGCACGAGCTCCAGGGAGTGGGCTAGGAGATCCTTGGCTTTGGCAGTATCAAGGCTGAGGTATACCCAGCAGAGACGTGTGGGCTTCCCTAACTGCCCCGAGAACTCAAACCTGCTGCCTGAAAGGCAGGTTTATAATCAAGTAGGTATAGCCAGGTCTGCGGTTCAGGAGATAGTTACCATTGAAAAGATTTGCTACAGTTCCCCAGACACAGTATAACACAGCTCACCTCGACAAGCAGAGCAACACCGGAAGCTGCAGGTCAGCTGGGAGGCAGAGGAAGTAAGGATGACTGTATTCATTTTAAGCCAACATGGGGGACCAGGCTTCTGACTGGCTCATTGGGTCATCTCAACAGGCTCTGGAGCCAGGGTTGTCCCTAGCTGTCTGCTACCAGGCCTCACATGTGACAGCCTGCTGGGGGAGGTGTGGGGGCTCTGGATTGGCGGGCAGGCATCTCTGAAAGGTGTTTGTAGGTGACTCTAACAGTCTCTAGGGAGTGGCTGAAAACAGGAGGGCAAAGCCACAGGTATCAGAGTATCAGAATTATAGAAAATAAAAGGATCATTAATAAATCTGTTGGGGGAAAGGAAGGCCTGGCCCAAGATGGGCGCCCCCGAAAGCCTCATATCAGGATGGAGTTCTCACAGCTGTCAAGGGTATTGGGGATGGTTAGCTTCTCCTTGATGTAGGTCAAAGCCTTCTATCCATCTTGGCCCAAACCAAGACAGAACCATCTTTTGCCTCAGCGGAACAGTCGGGACTAAGCACTTTTCTCATTTTTCTATAAACATCTTTCCTATCTGTTAATGATGTAAAAAAGAAATACCCCCCCCCCAAAAAAAGCCTAAAGCCAGGCATAGTGGCTTGTACTGAGTCCTAGCATTCAGAAAGCTGAGGCAGAAGAATTGTCTGGGCTACTTAGTGAATTCCCAGGAAAGCCGAGGCTAAGAGTGTGAGACCCTGTCTCTCTCTCACCCATACACACAAACTGATGATGACAGTAATAATAAAGAGAAATTCCAGGAGGGGGAACATCAGAAGTGAACGTGCAGGAGAGTGACCATGGCTGTCCCCGGAGAAAGGGTTTCTCTGGCTCACGGTTCCAGGTCACAGTCCACCACAGTGGGGAGGTCACAGTGGCAGGAGCTCCAGGGAGCTGGTTACACTGTACCTACAATCAAGAAGCAGAGGAGGATGGGTGCCTGCTATCTCTCTCTCTCCATTTTATACAGTCCAGGGTCCTCACCAGGGAACGGCATCACCCATCATCCCGCCCCGCTTACACACCCCCTTTGCACATCCAGAGGTCAAAGGTTCATCTCCTGGGCGACTCTAGACTTGCTCGGAGTTGATAGCTGTATACATCACAGTGACTCCTCTCTAGAATGCTGGCTTCAGCCTGACTGTGTCTGGGTGTGTGCGTGCACTGTTTTGGAAGGCATTATACTGTATTTGGTTGTTTTGTTGTTATTTGTTTTGTTTTTGGCTTTTGAGACAGGGGCTCTGTGTAGCCAAAGCTGGCCTCAAACTCACAGAGATCTGTCTGCCTCTGCTTCCTGAGCTGGGATTAAAGATGTGTGCCACCTTTCGTCACATAGCATCTTGGGCAAACTTCTTAACCTCTCTGAGCTTCGGTGTTGTTAACTGTGACGAATGGTTCTAGTGCCCGCTGTACATTGTCATGGCGATTTTGAACCAATAACTATCAAAGCATTGGCTGTCGCTGTGGCTGAGTTGTTGAGTGTGTGCGCGTGTTGGGCTGAGTTCACCCCCAGATCTAAAAGAAACAAACACAAACCAGCCACTGAGAACTGTGTCTGTCAAGCTATTTTTTTTTTTTAAAGATTTAGTTTTATCATTATTTCTTATCTATAGATAGGATGTGTGAGTGAATGCCATGAGTGTGCAGAGGCCAGAAGAAGGTGCCAGATGTGCTGGAGCTGGAGTTATGGTCAATTTTGAGCTGATCAACATGGGTGCTGGGAGTGGAACTCAAGTCCTCTGAGAGAGCAGCAAGTGCCCTTAACCAGTGAGCCATCTCTCCAATCCTGTCTGGTGTGTCCTTAATAAGAAAGTATTAAGGAAAGGTTTAGGCTGGTCATGATGGAGCAGGCCTGTATGTAATCCCAGCACTCAGGGAGGCAGAGGTAGGAGAGTCTTTGTCAGTTCAGGCCAGTCTGGTCTACAAAGCTAGTCCAGGGATATAGAGAGACTCTGTCTTGAAAAACCAAAAGAGAGAAATAGAGAAAGAGAGCGAGAGAGAGGACTTAGCCAGGCACACCTCTTTAATTGCAGCACTCATAAGGCAGAGCAGGGCAGATATCTTAGTTGCATAGTGAAATACATAATGAGACCTTTCCTCCAAGACAAACAAGCAAGCAAACAGAATAATCTCCAGCTTTCTTTCTGTCAGCAGCCCTCAGGTGAGCAAGCTGGGTGTGCACAAGTCCGTGCAGGAATCCAGTATAGTGTGCTCTCTTCCGAGGGTGTGCGCTCCCTCTAGGCTGGATAAAGCATCCAGACTGGACCTAAGGCCAGGCTAGTTTATGTCACATGCAGGATTTGTGTGCAGTGTAGTGGCCACAGATGCCCTGGGGTAAACCCACTGAACTTTGCCTAAAGCTTTTATCTGTTGCCAAGGAGACAACTGAACAGCATTGGGGGCTGGCACTCTGAGGGCCCCAAACTCTTATGGGGTGGCTGGGGGGAATTCCACATGCAAGTTCTTTGAGGTTTCCTTCACTGACCTATTTTGCGAGTAGTCCAAAAACTCCATGGATCCGCAGGCTAGTCCATAGCTCAGGGAGCCTCCCAGGCTGAAAACGATACTTTGGAAAGGACCACAAATTCTAACATGCTGCTGGTGGATCTCACTGTGCCGCTTACAGAAGGCACAGGATACTCCAGCCGCACTGTAGCCACTAAAATAAGTAATGCTGACTAAATTTATACCTGATAAATAATTTAGAACAATAAAATAAAAAGAATCAAATTTTAGCTTGGCATGGCAGTGCATGCTTGTAACTCCAGCACTCGGGAGAAGAGACCGAGGCAGAAAGATGAGAATTTCACCCTAGCCCGGACACTACACAGAGAGACCTGTTTGCCAAAACAGTCTTACTTTGTAGCACAGGCTAGCCTTGAACTCAAAATCCTCATACCTCAGCTCCTGTTGCTAGGGTTTCAGGTGTGTAGCATCATGCCTCGTTTTTCTGACAGCTTTTTTGACCCTGCCCTTGGTCTTCTGTGTTCAGGTCCAGGGTTAGGAATGGGGTCCTCTGGCCTCTCTGCTTGGGGGCTAACTTGTATGTAAAAGGTCTGAGTTTTGTCCCTGTCATTAATTCTGTCCCTCTGCCTTGCAGGCTCTGTGGCACCTACCCTCCCTCCTACAACCTGACTTTCCTCTCCTCCCAGAACATCTTCCTTGTCACACTGATAACCAACACTGACCGGCGACATCCTGGCTTTGAGGCCACTTTCTTCCAGCTACCCAAGATGAGCAGTAAGAACGGGCAGGGCCAATGATGGGCATGCTTCTAGGCTGCAGACAGGGTGCAGGCCTTTCCTGAACCCCAGAGGTTGACAGACTGGCCCCTCTGGGGACAGGTTAGAAGCGGAGAGCAAAGGACACCCAGGCCATAGACCACTCTTTTTATTTTTTAGAGTGGGGTCTCAGTGTGTACTCCGGCAATCTTGGAACTATGTAGAACAGGCTGCCTCAACTCACAGAGATCCTCTGCCCCTGAATTCTGGGATTAAAGGATGCATCAGCATGCCTAACTTTTTAAAAAAGAATTTAGCTTTGCTTTATTCTGTTCAGAAACATGAGAACAAGTGAGGAGATCTATGAGCTCACAGTGGAGAGAAGTACCAAGGAATTCTTTTCCACACGTCTCTGGGTGGGCTTGAACCACCAACCTTTCAGTTAACAGCTGAACGCGCTGGTTGATTACACCACCTCTAAGGGACCACTTTTAAGAGCAGTTGGCTTTGAGCGCCTTGTCAAAGTGTAGTGTCCTGTTTAGACAGCTGGTGCAAAGCTTGATCTCTCTCCAGACTGCACAGCTCTTCCCATGCCCTCTGGCTAAGGAGGTCCTTAAATTCCCCACTTTCTTCTGCCTTTCCTCTCAGAGTGTGGCGGTTTTTTGAGTCAAGCTCAAGGGACATTTAGCAGCCCCTACTATCCAGGCCACTATCCACCGAACATCAACTGCACGTGGAATATCAAGGTAGGGGTCGGGGGTGGGGAGGAGACAGTATAACAGGATAGTACTTGAGGAACAACAGGAGGGGGAAAATGGCTTTTATAACCTAAAGAGCCACGTTAATGGATCCACAAGACTAGAGTCTTTGCTGCTGGACTAGCCACATCCAGACTTATGACCCAGCTCTTTGATTGGCAACTGACTGAGAGAACATTGGCCCCACATTCTTCTCTGTGTGTCAGCTTGCTTCTGTGTAGAGTGAGGGTGAGTGACTGTATCCAAGAGGTGTTATCAGGATGACCTCACAGAACAAGTGGAATAGAGCGAGCCCTTACACAGCAGTAGGATAAGAGAGTGTGTGTAGGTGTCTCTTCCATCATCCAGTTGGAGGTCTTCCTTTAAAGATGTTCAGGCACCATTCTAGGCTTTTAAAGTAATAGAATACAAATTCCTACTCACGCATTCATGGTTTTCATTCTCAAGTTTCAGTTAGCTGTCAGCCACAATCTGAAAAATGTTAGATGGAAAATTCTGGAAATGAATAATTCGCACGTTTTAAACTGCTCATTGTTCTGAGGAACGTGATGAAATCCTTCACAGCCCTGCTCCATCTGCGTGGGTGGAAGTAATCGCTTTGTCCAGTGTGTCCATGCTGTATGCACTACTTGACTGCTAGTTACTTAGTAACGGTCTTGGTATCACACCATTGTGAATCACAGTGCTTGCATTCAAAGAACTCTTATTTACTTAATAACGGCCTCCAAATATTAGCTCAAATATTACCCCAAAGAAAAGATAGAAAGTACTTTTTTTACTTCATGATAATAGTGAAAAAAACAAAAACAAAAAACCAAAAACCAAACCCATTATGTTGAGGTTGCTAAGACCCGTGGTCCATCGTGTTAGTAAAATAAGCCAGGCATAAGAAGGACAGGGTCACATGACCTCACTCATATATGGAATCCCCAAAGGAGCCCCAAAGAAATCGAGGGAATGGTGGTCTTCAGAGAGGTTGAGGAGAGGAAGGAGAAAGGGGGAGGGAAGCTGAGTGGTGGTGGCGTAGGGGTGAGGGGAAGGGATGATGTCCAGTTAGACAGGAGCCAGGGCTCTGCTGTGTATTGGAGAGGGACTGGCTAGAGGTGCCAGGAACGACTACAGGTTTCAACAAGCTGGAGGAAAGTTTTTACCATTTAAAGAATCGTAAATGTTCAAGGAGATGCACTTTAAGGACTTCTCTAAGGATTGTAGTAATAATAGATAGCATTTTTATGTTTTGTGTGTCAGTTCAAATGAAATTTACAACCTAAACAAGCAGAGCCCTTTATCATCATGCATGTATGTATGTACGTATGTAAGAGGAAAGGTCGGAGTGTGTATGGGATTCATTCGCCACCGTGTTCCAACCTGTTCCATTGCCCTCCCGTGGACATCCTTGGGTTAAGAAGCAGCAAAACAAGCCAGGGCCCCCAAAGTTTCTCTCTGTCCAGGTGCCCAGCAACCGGAATGTGAAGGTGCGCTTCAAACTCTTCTATCTGGTGAACCCCAACGTACCACTGGGCACCTGCCCCAAGGACTATGTGGAGATCAACGGGGAGAAGTGAGCCCCTGGGGTGCAGTCACCATCCTGGAGGTTGGGAGGGCAGGTCCCAGGTACCCCCAGGTGTCTGGTTGCCAGCCGACTCTCCCTCAGCCTCACTCTTGCCATTTAGGTACTGTGGTGAGAGGTCCCAGTTCGTTGTCAGCAGCAACAGCAGCCAGATGACAGTCCGCTTCCACTCTGACCAGTCCTACACGGACACCGGCTTCCTAGCTGAGTACCTCTCCTATGACTCCAGTGACCGTGAGTGAATGTGGTTGGGGCTGTCTGGAGGGACGGTGACAGGAAGTGCTCCCGGTCCTACACTGCGCTTCCTCGGAGAGAGCAGTGTCAGATGCTTCTCCCTGCAACAGCTTTAGAGGGAAACAAGTCTGATTATTTAAAAAGACTGGGTTAGGGGTGTTGCTCTGTGTTAAAAGAGCTTGCCTAAGCACCTGTGGGGTTCTGGGTTCGATCCCTAGCACAAGAGCAACAAGAGAGCAAGAGCAAACTCGGGTGCTTTCCAGGCTTGCTTCCCGTAGTGAGGCTCAGGAGCCCTGGGACCCTCCTTCCCAACTTCCTGGGGCCATACCGCTTTGGTTCAGCATCGCAGCGACTTTGGTAATCTGTGCTTCTCTTGAGAACCTATTAGCACTTTTAGGATTAATTTGTAGTTTTGAAGTATTAGGAAGCACTATTAGCTATGTCAACAGCAATTCATTAGCTTACAGAATGCGGGTTGAGCTTCCCTCAGCTAATATACTTGGGACTGGAAGTGTAATGGATTTCAGATCTTAAAACTTGCAAATACACAGTGACATCTCTTGGGAATGAGACCCCAGTCAAGACTTGATATTTGGGGCTGAGGAGAGAGCTCAGATGGTAGGGTGCTTGCTGTGTTCGATCCCTGACACCACATAAAACCCATGGCTCAGAGCCGGGGAGGCAGACCCGGGGGCCTGCTGGCCACCCAGGAGAGCTGAGTTGATGTGCTCTAGGTTCAAGGACAAGGCCTGACTGAAAAAAGAAAAGGTGGAGCGTTATTGAGGAAAACACCTGTCATTGACTTCCGGACTCTGTGTACACAAGCACCACACACACACACACACACACACACACACTAAAATGAAGCTTCCCCTGACCCCTGTGGGCCTCATTATAGCAGCATATCAGAACACCTGTCATTTGACTAGTCACATGATGCCAGGCTTTCCACGTGTGGCATCATGTCAGCTCTGAAAAAGCCTCAGATTCTGCAACATTCTGGGCTTTGGTGTTTTGCCTGAGGGATGGTCGACCTGTAACTTTTAATTTCCACCCTGTATCATGGAGTAACCCTCTGGAAGGCATCTTGAGTACTGCAAGTCACATTTAATTTCAATGTAACTGCAGGGCCTGGGGAGATTGTGGGGATCTCCAAGTCAACCCCAGGCCAAGTTCTTAGCAAGAAGGAGATTTGTTTGCCCCAGAGGGACAAAGGGCAGGGAATAAGAGACACAGACAGGAGACAGAGGAGGAGGGAGAACAAAGGAGAGGGAGCAGGGTCATTTATCCCTGAGGGACAAAGGACTGCCTCTGGATGAAGAGGGGACAGATGTGGCCCATAGGAAAATGGTGGTTTATAAAGGTACAAGAGGAAACCCCGTGTTAGGATGAGGTATTTACTTTTAATTAGTCCTGTTAATTAGGTGAGCCAAAGGGGGCTGTTGATTGCTGGACTTCAATAGTTTGCTATCTGGACCTTGGTAGTCAGCCTCAGGAGGAGCAAGTGGCCAAATAAGGGAGTGGCCCCTTTGGGACTAGCTTTAGGAATGTAACGGTTTTTAGCAAGGGAGAGGAGAAGCGGTTAGAGGGCAAAACCTGTTGCATTGTTTGCCACACTCTGGCCTGTTAGAGCCCCTTTGGAGATGGCTTAGTGATTAAGAGCTCTTGTTGCTTTCGCAGAGGACCCAGGTTTAATTCCAAGCACTTACGAGGTGTTTGGTTAACAACTTGGTTAACTCTGGTTCCACAGGACATGATGCCCTCTTCTGGCCTCCATGGGCACTGCATGAGTGTGGTGCCTAGACGTAAATGCAGGCAAAACACCCACACACATAAAATGAAAACCAGCAAACCTTAAAAATCAAATAAAAAGCAATACAAGGGCAGAGCTTCCAAAAATCTTACTAGGTGACCAGATACATTTGACGTAAGGACGCACGTGTGACTGAAGTGTGTGTGTTCAGGGGCAGTGACAACCGCCTTTTCACAGCCCTGTCCTCCACCCGAGGAGCAATTGTCAGGTACATCCCTGTTTCAGGAAACTTCAGATCATGTGTTAGCGTGAGGGAAATTCTGGTGTTGTTTGCACTTGGCCAGGACACATACCCCACAGATCCAGTGCTCTGTGACCCCCGCCCCCCGCCAGTGTGCCATGTCACAGGCCTCTGCCTGGGAACACACAGGACAGTGGGAAACAGCACGTGTAGCTGGCTTCTCTCTGCCATAGCTATCCTCAGTGCAGTCAGTGGCCAGTGCCACCCACCCGCCACCCACTCTGGGTGCTGATGTTAAGAGTTCCCTTTGGTAGAGCTGGCTCCCAGTGTCTACCTCTGCTTGCAAGCTGATGTGTCAGTGGGGCTGGGAGGAGGTCGCTTAGGGAGAGACGGGGCAGCCGTGGACTTCAGGCCTCTCTTCCCCACAGCATGCCCAGGGATGTTCATGTGCAAAACTGGACGGTGCATCCGCAAGGGCCTGCGATGTGACGGCTGGGCGGACTGCCCGGACTACAGTGATGAGCGCTTTTGTCGTGAGTCCTGCTGTAGCCTGCCTCAGCTTTCCCTCTCCCATCGCGTGCCCTGTCCCCTCCTGCCTCCTCTTACCCTCTCCTGCCCTGGAAAAGGTCCAGTGGCCTGACCTTTTCCTTCCCTGGTTCTGCGCCATTTATCCTGACGAAAAGACACAAGGCAGTGAGAGCCTGTTCTCACCTCTGTGCCCCCTTTGTTCCCCCTCCTCTGCCACTGGAGACCTTGGCTAGCAGGCGAGTGTCTGTCAGCGCTGATAGCTAGTGGTGCAGAGCAGTTTTCGGAGGAGACAGCATCTCTGGCAGCTGTGCCTTCCCAGGCTGCCCCTGGCAGCCACCAGCTGATTCTCGCACTCCCCAAACAGGATGCAACACCACCCACCAGTTCATGTGCAGGAATCAGCTCTGCAAGCCCCTCTTCTGGGTCTGTGACAGCGTCAACGACTGCGGGGACGGCAGTGATGAGGAGGGCTGCAGTGAGTAGCCTGGGCTTGGGGCCTGCTGTGGCTCACCGGTGCCTGTTTGACCCTGTAACCCAGCGCATGCTGGACGCTGCTAAGGCCCTGTGTCTCCTTAGGTTGTCCTGCTGGGAATTTCAAGTGTTCCAATGGGAAGTGTCTCCCTGAGAGACAGCGGTGTGATGGGAAGGACAACTGTGGAGATGGGTCTGATGAGGCCTCATGTGACAGTGGTAAGGCCCAGCTCGGCTGCCTTCCTGTGGGGATGGGCCTTGTTTCCCTTGAAACTGGCACTGCAAGGTAGTAGCCGGTTTCAGACCCTATGGAGTGCACACAGAGTTCCTAAGCCTAACTTTCCTGTGTGTTAAGCTTGGGGAGAAAAATCTTTCAGAAGGTGGAGACCCCGTAGCAGGACAGAAGGGACAGTGGACGCGGACAGGCCAACAAGAGTCCAAGGTGGATGATGATGGTGTGACGTATCTGTCCTCTCCCGTACACAGTGAACGTCGTCTCTTGCACCAAATATACCTATCGCTGCAGCAATGGGCTCTGTTTGAGCAAGGGCAACCCTGAATGTGACGGGAAGGAGGACTGTAGTGACGGCTCAGATGAGAAAAACTGTGGTAAGCAGGGCGGCTAGGTGTGGTGGGCCGGGGTGTTTCCTGCATAAGGGACTCACGTGGGAGGGCGCCCTGGCGTGGACGAGGCCCTGAGATGAGCGAGGCCCCGCACAAGTGGCCCTCTCCAGAAACGTACTCACCCAGCCCAGTACCCACTCGCAGCACATCGGTCAGGAGGAAAGGAAGACTTTGCCTCTTGGCGTAAACACGCAGCTCTGTGGGAAGCGAGCGTGTCAGCACCACTGTGACACAGCTGGTATGCTGGCTGCCCCACAGATAGCCATGGGTGAGTGCCTTGGAGGAGAAAGAGCTGCCCAGGCACCAGGCAGGGCTTGGTCCTCACCCATCCCTGTCTTCACCTAGATAGCCCGTGTATCCTAGAAGACCTGGCTGGGTTGACCTCATGTCCCCACACACTGTTCTGAGCTGCATTTCTTAGCACTGGGCAAGGGAATCTAGGCAAGTGGCACTATACCAAGCCTGAGAAGGCAGTGGGTGTCTAGAGCCTGGATGTGCTTGTGCATTATAACATGAGCTGGGGAGAGGGAGGATGGGGGGAGGACGGAGGATCTGGGAGGCTGAGGGACCCTTCTGCTCTACTGTTGCATAGCCAGTGGAGATTCCTGTTCTGAGTTTTTCTGTCTGTGGGGAATGTCCTTTTGATGTTGAGTGGCTCCACTTTGGTTCTCTGTCCCCTCTCCAGACTGTGGGCTGCGGTCCTTTACCAAGCAGGCTCGGGTGGTCGGCGGCACAAACGCGGACGAGGGCGAGTGGCCCTGGCAGGTGAGCCTCCACGCCCAGGGCCAGGGCCACTTGTGTGGGGCCTCGCTCATCTCTCCCAACTGGCTGGTCTCTGCAGCTCATTGCTTTATGGATGACAGGAACTTCAAGTAAGTATCCAGGTGGGCAATGAGACCTCCTGTGTCTGAATTTTGCCAGGAGTAGCTGGCACCAGAGCAGGGTGATGGAGGAGTGGGCATCCAGATGGGACTTAGAAACTATTCTAATAAAACTCAACTTCTTATGAGGGGGGATGGGGATGGGGTGGGGTTGTTGTGGTCTTTCTACACAGCCCTAGCTGTTCTGGAACTCACTATGCAGGCCAGGCTGGCCCAGAACTCACAGAGATCTACCTGCCTCTGCCTTTCAAGTGCTGGCATTAAAGGCATGCGGCACCATGCCCAGCCACTGTGTACCACCCCTAACAGATTAGGCAGGTCTATATCTGCCCCTGCTGGGCATGGAGATACTGGGGCTTGGAGAGAAAGGGGCATTTGTCTGGGTTTGCACAGCTGGACTTGAGCCCAGGCAAAGATTCCAAAGCGTGTTTGGTTACTTTCTGCATTTCCTGGCTCCTTGGGATTGGTTAATGATGAGACTCGATTCAGCCTAAGGTCTGGCTTGCAGCTTATTCCCTTTCTAGGCTCTGATGATGTGACACAGTAAGTTCTCATCCTTAGAGCTGGGACAGCTAAAGGTGTCATGTGCTTGTGGCCCAGCACTGTACCTAGCACACAATAGGTACGCTTCTACAGGGTGGGCTCTCATTGGTGTCCCGGGCCAAAGCGGACAGGTGTCAGAGTCCGAGGGGTCAGAGAAGTAGCAGAAACAGGTAAGTGGGTATGACGCTGGGGCTATCTGTGTCTTAGCTCCTGCTCCACCCCAGGCTCTCCGGTCACTGGCCGCAGGAGTGTAAGAGGATACAGATACAGGGGAATTTCCTAAGAACTATACATCCTTGGAAAGAAGGTCTGACTTTCTTGTCAGCTGCACACTCTTCTGCTACAGGCAGCCCAGGGGTTCTTAACTACCCTTTTGCAGAGAGGAGACTCCCAGGAGCAAACACAAGACAAGCTGTTGGGAGGCCGGGCCTGTGTGCATGGTGTGGGTGATGGAGACAACAGCACCGGAAGGAGTACAGACTTCTTTGGGCTGCTGATCTGCTCATCCCAGCTCCACCCCTCTATACCCCTCACTCCCTGGTTTGGTCACTTGAGGCAAGATTCTGTTTGGCTTCATACTGAGTTCCAGGCCAGCCTGGTGTCTATGTGAGACCCTGGCTCAAAAAAAAAAAAAAAAAAAAAAAAAAGGATTAATATAGTCAGCATCCATTGTCAGTATTGATACCTGGAACATAAGTATGAGTAAGACTTGGTCCATGTATTTCACAGACCTGCTAGGATAGAGGGGAAGATCTTATACAGAACTGCATATGCAATGAGGGTGACCTTTGGCCCCAGATATGTTTGGACCACTTGAGAGGTCCATGTGAGTGACTGGGCAGAATGCTTTTAAGAGCAGAGTGTCTAAGTAGCGTGGTAGCTGTGGGCATTCGCTTGCTGGGCCAGTTGGCTCAGACTGCTAGGTGAAGGGAGTGTTGTGCATGCAGGCTGGCTGTTGGGATGTAGTTCCTTGTCTAAGCTCCCTCTGTCCTTGGACCATTTCCGTATTCATTTTTACCTCCTGGTCTTTCCCTTTGTGCCTCATGTCTGCTCACCCCAGCCCTCACCCTGCAGGATTTGGCTGGCTAAAGCGTAGTTGAGTTCAAGGCTTGCTCCATTCCCTCCTGCCTCCCATGCAGTACTTGTCACCACCCTGTCCTCTGTGGGATGCTGGAACTGGTTTTTACATCGCTCACCTCTGGGACACTCTGAACTTAAAATTGGCCCTATGGCCATTCTTGGAACATCATAGATGGCCATCCATTAATGATTGAGTGGTGGATGAGCAAATTGGTGGATGAATACATCACTGGAATAGATATGAGAATACAGAACGAGTGGGAGGACATTAGAAAGGGGAAGGCCTTGGGCTGGAGAGATGGCTCTGTGGTTCAGAGACTGTACTAATCTTTTAAAGGATCCGAGTTGAACTAGCATCCACATTGGGCGGTTCATAACTGCCTATGATGTTAGCTCCAGGGTGACCCAACACCTCTGTGTGAAGTTTCTGGCTTAGGTTCAAGCCCAAGCACGAGCGTTTCCCTCTGTCTCCTGTCTCTTGGCAGCTGCTTGAGGCCTTGTTAATGGTGGGTAGCCTTCTGAGCTTGTGCATTCACACCTGCCCACAGCCCTATGACTGCTCTGCCTCCTCTGTCCCATCCCAGGTACTCAGACCACACGAAGTGGACGGCTTTCCTGGGGCTGCTGGACCAGAGCAAGCGCACTGCCTCTGGGGTGCAGGAGCATAAGCTCAAACGCATCATCACCCACCCTTCCTTCAATGACTTCACCTTCGACTATGACATCGCCTTACTGGAGCTGGAGAAGCCGGCGGAGTTCAGCACTGTTGTGCGACCCATCTGCCTGCCTGATACAACTCATGTCTTCCCTGCCGGCAAGGCCATCTGGGTCACTGGCTGGGGCCACACCCAAGAGGGAGGTGAGCCTCAGGCCAGGCCTGTGCAAGCAGAGAGCCTCAGGCCTTCCTGCAAGGCTGTAGTGTTTGTACGCTGTGGCCTTCTGGTGTCCAGCCCTGACTGCACAGAGTTCATCCTGGCTTCAGGGCTAGTGGGTTACTCAATTTCCGGGTGCTGGCAGGATGAAGCTTTTGGGGTGGAAAGGAAAAGGAGGCTCCTGGTAAAAAGTGTAGAATTTTCAGGTTGGGATTTTGATTGAAGCCCTGACTCTGCCACTTTGTTACCTGAGTGGCAATTTGCTTAATTTAGTAACTGTGGTTTATTCATCCGAAAAAGCACGCTCAGTGAGCATGAACTGAGGTGTGGGTGCTACTTTTTGATTTGGACAAGCCTTTGAGCTGGCCCAGCAACATGACCCACTGTGGGTCTCTGTGCCCTGTGGAGGGCATGCAGCTTGTAGGTGAACTTTAGACTGTAAAACTCCATTACAAGGTCATATAGTACATGGTGAACATTCATACAGAAAGTGAAATCCTGACTTAAGCCAGGTGGTGATGGCGCACACCTGTAATCCCAGCACTTGTGAGGCAGAGGCAGGTGGATCCTGGTCTACAGAGTTCCAGGATAGCCAAGGCTACACAAAGAAACCCTGTCTCCCCCTACTCCCCAACTTAAGAGGGTTCCCTTCAGGCAGAGCCACTGTGGCATTTGGTGACATTTTCGGTGTTCCTGCCGCCTTCCATCTATCCCTTACCTTGCTGTGTATCTGACCTGTCAGCAGCAGTTTCACTGTGCCATCGTCTGGCTACTTTTCATGGCTGTACAATAGCCTGCCATGTGCTCTTGGCTACTTACCCATGTATCCGTCAGCTGCAGGCTTAGGTTATTTCCAAGCTTTGCTTGGAAACTTAACCAGCGGGGAGCATCTCCATTGAGTTTTTCCCATGCAGAGTGATCTCCCCCAGGAGCTGCCTGCCTCAGTCTACCCTGGCTTACTATCCCCACAGGCACCGGAGCACTGATCCTCCAGAAGGGTGAGATCCGTGTCATCAACCAGACCACCTGTGAGGGCCTCATGCCACAGCAGATCACCCCACGAATGATGTGTGTGGGTTTCCTCAGTGGGGGTGTGGACTCCTGCCAGGTGCGTGAGCTTACAGGGGAGAGGCAGAGATAGAGGAGGAGGAGGCACCTAGAAAGGCTGAAGCTGGGGAGAGGCCAAGCCAAGGAGAGGAAGGGCCATGCAGAACAGGATGGGAAAGAGGCAGGGCTAGGGAAAGTCGGGGCAGGGGGAAAGGGAGATGGAGGGGGGGCGTGTGCCTAACTAAGCTGGAGCTGGGAGAGGGGAGGCTGGGGAAAGCCTGGGCAGGGGAGAGCAGGAGTCAAGGAGAGGTCTTGCTGAGGAAGAGGTCAGTTGGGCATGGGAGAGGCCACTTCGGTTAAGGCAGCTCCTAAGAGTTTAGGTAAGAGCCTCACGCACAGAATCTGTCTCTGCGTAGGGTGACTCCGGCGGCCCCTTGTCCAGTGTGGAGTCAGAAGGGCGAATCTTCCAGGCCGGTGTGGTGAGCTGGGGAGAAGGTTGTGCTCAGAGGAACAAGCCAGGCGTGTACACAAGGCTCCCCGTACTTCGGGACTGGATCAAAGAGCAGACCGGGGTATAGGAGCACGGACGGCCTGCCGTGACCACCACAGGGACGCCCTCACGTGCACACCTGGCCGCAGGCCAGGACCACCGAGGACATGCACGCTGCGGCTTCCCCCCCACAACCCACACTGTGAACTGCATCCACAGGACTCAGAGTTCTTCTGTGAGATTCCAAAGTGGGACCCCCTCAGAAGCTGGGGAGAGAACTTCCACGCCAGTCACCCAGCTGGGGACAAGGATTTGATGGCAGCCTTCCCCTCTTCCTCCCCAGCCCGGCCGGGTGAAGAGAACCCTTTCCTGGAGACCTGCTTCCTGACTCAGAGGGCGACTCCCACTGGGAGCCCTGTGGGTGGAGGGGCTGCAGTGCTCAGCCTTCAGGAAGCTCCAGCCCTAGGGACCCTAGAAAACAGTGGCACTTAAGGTTGGAATTGTTTTGAGGGTGCCAAGAGTGGATATTTGTGTGAGTAAAACATTTTATTTCTTTTTAGGTAATTTGTTTTCCTTGCTCTAGTGGGCTCTCCTTCCCTCCCTCCCTCCTCCTGTGACTAGTTCCCTTTGCAGGAAACTGGGACTGAGTTTCTTTTAGCACAGACTCTGGTGCAATTCTGGCGCGCAGACCACAGTGCCTCGTCTTCCTGGGCCAGGGGGTTATTTCTGTCCTCTGTAGTGATGGGTGCTCACTTGGAAGCCAGGGCCTGGTGCCCTGACTGCAACAGGTCGGTCAGGAGGGACTTTGGGGGTGAAGCATTTAGAGATAGGGCACTGGGGCTGCCCCCTGCTGGGGGTGAGGGGCTGGGTGGTGGTGGTGACGTGTGAGAGGAAGAGGAAGGTGCGGAGTGTTTCGGGTTTGCTTTCAGTGCAGAAGTGCGCACATAGCGTGTGCATGGAGACAGGGTCTGGCATGGGCTGGGTGGGTGAGTCCCAATGGGAGGGATGCTGCTGCATTAATGACGGGTGCCTCCACCTCCTGTGCCATGCTTCTTTTTACTTTAGGAAACATTCTCTCCCCACTTGGAATGGCCCAGGGCGGTTAGTGCTGTGGATCTGGGGAGAGGTCAGAGGTCTTTTGAAAGGCCTTTAGAAGGCTCCTGGGACCTGTATGGGCTGTGACTGGAGTGGCCTCCAGCAGTGACTGTGTTAGTGTCACAAAGGCAGGCATCATTTATCTCATCAGTTAACCCATTCTTTGTCCCCAGCTCATGCCTCACAAGCTCCTGGTCAATGCTGTTACTTACCTTTTGGATTTTGCTCCCGGCAATTTTTCTGAACAAAAGGCAGTCAGTCTGACTGTTCTCTGATTTTAGCCCGAGTTATTTTCCAGGGAGACTCACCATGTAAACGTCATTCCTTACCTCTTGACTCAGTCGCTCCATCCTAGTGATAAGGGACAGAAGGATTGAGCCAGGGTCTTCGTTAAGTGAGGTGTTCCGGAGCGCATGTGTGGGCTGATTCCACTCAGTGTGTATGTGCATATAGGCAGCTCACACACACCTGATTTCAGGGAGGCTGCTGCAGCCTGGGCCACCCACGTCGCACTTCAATGTCCACCACAGCTGCCGTCCACAATAAGATCTCACTCCCCAGCAGCAAACACACAAGCAGAGGCTGCCTGAAAACTTTGTGGGAAGAGCCTTTTGCCCCGTCCTTGCTGTCTCTAACCCCGCTGTCCTATGTTAATGCAGTCATCATCACACTCAGTATTTTCCACCTGTGATCTATCCTTCAGGGCCACTCTCCTCCTCTCCAGGATCCTGGAGGTGGAGACTAGGCCTGTGGTCTGGGACAGTGGCTCTCCAAGAGTGGTCCTTGGGCAGGAGCTTTGAGATCCTGGGGAACTCCCACTCTTTCCACAGAGCCCCTGAGACCCCATTTTGGAGGTGCCTGCAGCAGCAGCTCTGCTGGAGGCATCTGAGGTTTACCAACATGAGTCGGACCTGGAGGTGCACCGTTAGCAGGGGTTCATGTTACTCTGCGGTGGCCATGGAAAAATGGCCATTGAGGGGTCCATATGGCACCCTGAACAAGGTCTGCTGGGGTGCTCTTGATTCCACATTGCTGGCAGAACCCACTTGGAATGAGAGTCGCATTTAATCCCTGGGCAATCAATCAAATGCTGATGCCTCCAGAAGTGATTGTGAGGGCTGGTAAGATGGTTCAATGGGTAAAAAAAAAAAAAAAGTGCTTGCTGCCAAGACTGACAACCTGAATTCTATCCCTAGGATCCACACGGTGGAAGTAAAGAGGAAACATTAGGAAAGGGAAGGCCTCTCTCAAGTTGTTCTTCATACTATGTATGATGAAGCCAGGTCTGACCTTTCTATTGACAGACAGGCTGGGGACCTATAGCCAGCAGGAACTCAGACTCACCACTGAGGCTCACCGATAAGGACAAATCACTAGAACCACCAAAGAGCCAGGAGACAGGAGGGACCGCTGTGCCGTGAAGCACTTGGCTGTGCAGATCTTCAGTGGTATTGGCTCACCTTAGCTTTACCGAGGCAGGTGTGTGGGGGCAGGTCGGGCGGAGATGTGTGGCTCATGGCTCAAACTGCTTTGCACACATTTGCGTTTTCAATTCACAAACTCAGCTCCAAGTTTTTGACAGAAGATTTAATTAGTGCAGGCTGCAGTAGCTGAGGCCAAGGCCACTGTGCAGGGCATGAGATGAATAATGCATTCTGAGACCACTTACTGCCATTGCAGCCTGGAGTGAAAGGTGTTGAAAGCAAGAGAGCCCAGCCCAAGCAGCTAGGCAGGGCTGCCTGCCCTATGCCTGCAAAGCACTGGGCTCCATGCCAAGAAGGGCCCTGCACTTGGTTCCATGCTCCATGAGGGTCTATATATTTTATTTTGCTCCATGGGTTCTGTAGCTAGCCTTGCATCCTGTGCCATTCTCTGGTTAGTCTGATGTAGAGTTAAAGGACTACAGGGGCCTAGCAGGCGGGGAGATGTGTCTAATATCCACCCTCCTAGCGTCTGTCCATCGCCTAGATGAAAGTCACTTGTAGTTCCAGAGCTGTAGTGTCACTTGGACACTACAGCTGGATTTCTCTGAGAGGAGGCGGCGGCAGCGAAGGTGATAGCCTCCCTGTTCACAGATAAACTGTGTGCAGCTGGGCTTCCTGAGACAGTCCAGTATTGCAAGTAGTCTCCTCAGCTCAGCATACACAATGGAGTCATCCCTGGCTGACCAACTTATCTTGGGAATCTCAGCTCATTTTCTGGTCCTCCCAAACTGCCTTGGATTGCAATTATTTTAGTCAGCCATGAAAAGCTTAGAAGCTTAAATGAGCTAACTCAAATCCTGTGTGTTGCATCAAGGTTCTGCAGGGGACACCTGTGAAATGGGTTAGTGAAAGAACCTAAAGAAGAGGGAACATTTCAACTCCTGGATCTAGGTTTAGGACGCCAGGCTCAGAGCCATTGGGCAGGACTGGTTGACAAGTGGTCATTCAGATTTTTGTCCACATGGTGGCAATGTTGTCACAGAAGTGAGCCCCTCAGGAGGCAGGGCCTGAGCGGGCCTTCTAATTTCTAATTAGCCTTCAGTGCAGAAGGACTGGTGCCTGTCTCACGCCCCAGCTTTTCTCTAGTCAGTCTTCCAGGCCTCAGTCTGCGGGCAGGACCTGCTGACCCTCAGCATCAGAATCTGGACAGCTCATTACCCTCTAGGTGGCAAGCAGGGGAAAAGCAGTATCCTGTGAGACATAACAGGCACTTGTCACAGCTTAGCTTGGTGTCTCCCCCCCCCCCCCCGCCCCCCGCCGAAATGTAGGGACCTGCAACCTGATCAGAGTTGGTCAGGAGACCTGGCTGTGGCACAGGGCACCTTCTCTGAAGCAACATGCAAGGTACCTATGGATTCTAAGTCTATGTCATGTGGATGAGTGATACAGTTTTCACGTGTCCAGGCTTCAGTCTGTGCGCTTCCCACCTGCCACCGTGTGTAAGGGCAGTTGGTTCTTCCACCTGGTGAACCTTAGGTAGTGGAGTTGCTTGGAGCTGCAAAATGACAGCAGAATCCAGAATTTAATGAAGAAAAAGCCACCTCTTAATTCTTTCTGTTTGCTCTTTGGGTTAGGGTCTTGCTTTGTATCTGGCCTAGAATGTCAATCCCCCCGCCTCAGCCTCACAAGTGCTGAGATTACAAGTGTGTGCCGCCCATGCTGGTGTAAGCGCTCTAAGTGGTCTGTGGATGGAATTTCGCTTAATCCTCACAACAGTCCTACGTCACCCCCATTTTACAAACAGCATGGGATCTTCCCGAAGCCCACACTTAGGGAAGAGTAGACACAGGGTCTCAACACCAGTGATGGGGCTGCACTCAGAAGCACTACACAATCTCTGGTGCTAATACAAGTGTCCATGCCAGCATGTTCTTGGCATGTTTACATACTACCACTGTTCCACAAAGGAAGGAAACTGTGACACACAGTTACAAATGTCTTTTAAAGGATTTAATTTGGGAGCCCTTTTTCCTTTATGTCAGAGAAACTGCCTCAGGGTAGCTGAGAGGTGTGAATCAGCATCTGGGAACTATTTTTCTAGGCATGAGTTCCCCTGGGCTTTCTAAGCCAGGAGGCTTATTTTTTAGGCTGGGGCTTGCTCTGGGCTAGCCACGATGCCTTCCTTTGGCTTTGCCAGCCTAGGCAGAAAGGGGTCCACCTACCAATAGCTCTGGAGCCACCTCAACTTGCCAATTAAGGGTGGTAGATGGTGGATATGAACAGATATCTCAGATTAGGCCACTTGAAGTGGGGTGACCATCAGCACAGGATTCTGGGAAGCTACTGAATGCCACTGGGAATGAAGAGAACAAACCTCATAGTAAGAATAGGTTATTTCTCACCTGGTTTTAGATCTTGAAATGGTCTAAAGAATGATTCAAGCTGCTCTTCCACAGAGGGGCAAGCATGACTCTCGCAGGTGCAGAGGTGACATAGTGCTTGCAAACCCACTGCCAGAAAGTACTAGTGAAAGCTGTGGCCCAGCTCTGCTGAGATGACTCCTTTGAGCTCATGACAAAGACAGTGAAAAGAGGGACATAGGAAGCAAACAGCCCTGCTGCACACAGAATGACCTTCTAACGTCCTGCTCCAAACTGATGTGTATGTCAAACTAACGGCTGCTGGGTGTAGGCCTGCAGGGAGAGTATTTAATAGAGACACCCTAACTTGGGATTTCAATGAGCCTCATCCTGTTCTCCACCTCTCCATTCTAGTTCCATCATCCCATGCCTGTATGCTCACTGCCCTTTCCACTCACCTCCCTTCATTTCCTAAAAAGCCAGTGTTTCCAAGCGTAGGTGGATAGGATCCATTGTCTGTTTCTTCCATTGTCTCAGCATCTTCCAGAAGGAGGGCCCTTACTTTCCTGGGGTGTGGGCTCAACTTTCCCTTCCTCTAAGCTCATATGCTTCCCCTACATCACCCTTGCCTTTGCCTTGGAGGTTATCATAGCTTCCTTTGCCACACCCGTGATCCATAA